TGCCCGGGGGTCCCATGAGTGGTCAGTCCGCCCCTGCTCAGTGATCAGCACAAATTAACAGACCTGGTCAGGCACTCTACCCTCTCTTGCTCTGCAGTGCAAAGTCTGTGAGGTAGGCCTGGAGCAAAAAAAAATGTTTTAAAAATTAAAAATGACTAGGGGGAATTGAGGGACAACATATAGGGTTAAAAGAAGGGTAGTCTCCGAGCCGGTGGGTTGTGGCTGGGGATAAGTAGGGTTGTCTCCGTGGCTGGGGATAAGTAGGGTTGTCTCCGAGCCGGTGGGTTGTGGCTGGGGGGGTTAAGTCCGAGCCGGTGGGTTGTGGTCTGGGGAAAAGTAGGGTTGTCTCCGAGCCGGTGGGTTGTGGCTGGGGATAAGTAGGGTTGTCTCCGAGCCGGTGGGTTGTGGCTGGGGAAAAGTAGGGTTGTCTCCGAGCCGGTGGGTTGTGGCTGGGGAAAAGTAGGGTTGTCTCCGAGCCGGTGGGTTGTGGCTGGGGAAAAGTAGGGTTGTCTCCGAGCCGGTGGGTTGTGGCTGGGGAAAAGTAGGGTTGTCTCCGAGCCGGTGGGTTGTGGCTGGGGATAAGTAGGGTTGTCTCCGAGCCGGAGGGTTGTGGCTGGGCATAAGTAGGATTGTTCCCGAGCCGGTGGGTTGTGGCTGGGGAAAAGTAGGGTTGTCTCCGAGCTGGAGGGTTGTGGCTGGGCATAAGTAGGATTGTTCCCGAGCCGGTGGGTTGTGGCTGGTCAAAAGTAGGGTTGTCTCCGAGCCGGTGGGTTATGGCTGGGGATAAGTAGGATTGTCCCCGAGCCGGTGGGTTGCGGCTGGGGATAAGTAGGGTTATCTCCAAGCCGGTGGGTTGCGCCTGGGGATAAGTAGGATTGTCCCCGAGGTGGTGGGTTGCAGCTGGAGATAAGTAGGATTGTCCCCGAGCCGGTGGGTTGCGGCTGGAGATAAGTAGGATTGTCCCAGAGCCGGTGGGTTGCGGCTGGGGGCCTAAGTTGAAGGGACGTTTTCCACAAAAGTGAAGTTGGGTTTATGGCCCTCAAATGACCGCCATGTTTTATAATTTGGAATGTTATGTTATTTACGTTGAAATCATTTATTGGTTAATAAAAGGCTGCTTTGGCCATTTTGACTCCAAAAACTTGGTTTGCGTATTTTGTATAGCTGGGATGGTGGAGGGGTGGCCTAGCAGGCTTGGTTGGATTGGCCTAGCAGGCTTGGTTGGGTTGGCCTAGCAGGCTTGGTTGGGTTGGAAGGCGTATATTCTACCCTTGTCATGAGGACACTGGTGCTGAGGGGCGTGGCTGATACTCAGCTCTGTTGGCACAGAGCACTGGAAGGGTAATGGGTTGGGGGAGGGGATGGCAGGTAAGTATTTAAAGGCATTTTCAAGGAGTCACAAATCGTAGTATCAGACACAAACTGCATACAAGTCTCTCCCACTTTGTCGAGTGACATTATAGGTCATTTTGCTGTTCCCCTGGTATATTGTAGGAGCAAAAAGGTTGTAGCTGGGCCCCTGTACACCTAATGTGCCCTATGCTCCTGCCTAGGCTGCCCTGTAGATGATCAAACTCTGCTGTCTCACTCAGGAGCCCATGCGTGTCTTTAATGTTTTTTTAATTGCATTTTTTATGTGTTTTTCATGAGCATTGAAGTCTATGGAGCCAAAATGCACTGTATCACACCCAGGGGCGTATTTACCACGAGGCAAACAAGGCTTCTTCCTTGGGTAGCATTTTCAGGGGGGCAGAAGTAGGGACACACGCTGGATGGGGACCAGGTGGGATCCAAGAGAGGCTGCCGGCTGCTTGATGATGTATGCAGAGCCCAACTATCATTCCTGGGAATGTCCCACACTGTGAAGGTGAGGTTCTCTTGGCAGGGAGGAGGCTGTGGTGTTGGTCGGTGTCAGGCTCTCGGCGGGGGGGGGCTGTGGTGTTGGTTGGTGTCAGGCTCTCACGGCATGGGGGGGCTGTGGTGTTGGTTGGTGTCAGGCGCTCTAGGCGGGGGGGGGGGGGCCTGTGGTGTTGGTTGGTGTCAGACTCTCTCGGCATGGGGGGGGCTGTGGTGTTGGTTGGTGTCAGACTCTCTCGGCATAGGGGGGCTGTGGTGTTGGTTGGTGTCAGGCTCTCTGGGCAGGGGGGGGGGGGAGGGGGCTGTGGTGTTGGTCATGTTATGTTTTCTCAGTGGGGGAAGCTGTGGTGTTGGTTGGTGTCTGGCCCTCTCGGCGGGGGGAAGGTCCTGTGGTGTTGGTTGGTGGCACTCTCTCTCGGCAGGGGGGGGCTGTGGTGTTGGTTGGAGTCAGGCTATCTCGGGGGGGGGGGGGGGGGGCGCTGTGGTGTTGGTTGGTGTCAGGCCCTCTCGGCGGGGGGGGGGGCGCTGTGGTGTTGGTTGGTGTCAGGCCCTCTCGGGGGGGGGGCTGTGGTGTTGGTTGGTGTCAGGCTCTCTCAGCGGGGGGGGGGGGGGGGGGGGCTGTGGTGTTGGTTGGTGTCAGGCTCTCTCAGCAGGGGGGGGGCTGTGGTGTTGGTTGGTGTCAGGCCCTCTCAGCAGGGGGGGGGGACTGTGGTGTTGGTTGGTGTCAGGCCCTCTAGGCGGGGAGCGGAGGCTGTGGTGTTGGTGTCAGGCCCTCTCAGCAGGGGGGGGGGGCTGTGGTGTTGGTTGGTGTCAGGCCCTCTAGGTGGGGAGCGGAGGCTGTGGTGTTGGTGTCAGGCCCTCTCAGCAGGGGGGGGGGGGGGGGGGGCTGTGGTGTTGGTTGGTGTCAGGATCTCTTGGCGGGGAAGGGGGGCTGTGGTGTTGGTTGCTGTCAGGCTCTCTTGGGGGGGGGGGGGGGAGAGGCTGTGATGTTGGTCGGTGTCAGGCTGTCTTGGCAGAGGTGAACGGTGTAGGTGGAAGGTGGACGGTTTTTGTGTCGCCTAGGGCAGCACAAAACCTAAATACACCACTGATCACTCCCAAAAAAGCACCTGTACCATGAAGCAAAGCATGGCACCCGTGGCATGTATACAGCCTTCTCCAATTACATTTTATGTTTTAGATCGGTGGTTGGGGGGCAGTAAATCTTTGGCTCAACCACCTGCTTTTACCGCCGCACATGTGAAAGTAGCCTAAAAAAGATTCTGCTGAGTCCCTTTAAATTCATTTTTTTGTCCCATTCCACCAATCCCCAAAGACTTGGTCACTTCATAAAAAAACGCACAGATGATGCCAGTTGCCATTCACATTTTAAACGCATTGCGCTGCATAAAACTGCCCTTTGCGCCGCGTTTTTCACGTGTGTTTATTTTTGCACCGAAGAAATTCAAACTTTTAAAAATGATAATAGCTGTGATGACCTTGCCTACAAATGAAGACATGCAGCACTTTTGTGCGCTGCGCCTGCATGGTGCGAAGAGGACACCATGGTTTGGATGCGTTGATCAATGGACGCGGTGCAAATGAGCCCCAAATGTAACTGATAAATAGGATTCCAGAACCGAATGTTATGGTAACACGATTCTACCCGGCATTTCATGTCTCTAACCAATCAGATAAAGGATGAGCGACTGCTATCCCTGAATTTCATGATCTGCGACGTTTGATGAATATTAAAATACACGCTTGTGACACCGCCGCTCGCTATAGATTCTAGATGAGTACTTGGCGAGTTCTTTCTTGTCGGCGGATGTAATATCGCTGTCACTTGTCTCCCGGGAGTGACGCCTGTATGCTTGTCAAAGCCGGTTTATTTCTAAGCGAGGACGGGCTCTGATAAAGAGATCAATGCGCCATGCTGGTGTCTCCGCGTCCATTATCGGAGAGGCGGCAGTGACAGTGACAGCGCGGATGGCGGCAGGAAGAAGGATGGGAACTAACGAAGAACACGGAGGACGCAGCAGCCGGAATCCGCGCTCCTCTTATCTGCGCGCTGATTGACAACTTGATTTAATCGCTATTTAAAACAGGGGAAAAAAAAAAAAACAAATAAATAGAATCACCGCGGAGCCAACAAATGAGGAAGAATAATCTGCTGGAGGAAGTTTACAAATTGATACAATGAGGATCTTGTTATTGAAAGCTAACTCTGCTTATATTCTGTTTGTATCGTCCCCCCCCTCATCAACATCCTAATTCTATTTTTAAATGAAACCTTTCTGTTCTCGTTCCATTACATATTTTAGGCATCATTCATTGGGTCTCTGTGCTTCTCTATGCAATACAGGCAGATCATGGCTGGTGGGAGGGGCTGGCAGGGTGCTGTTAGTGATGTATCTTGGTTTTGTGTTGCCCTAGGCAAGACTAAAATCCCATCTAAATTTGTCCTACGACAAGATCCACGCCTTCAGGACAGGACAGGAGGGGGGAAGTGACATGGGAGGGGTAGCAGGATGGGTGGGTGGCAGCAAGACAGGAGGGGGACAGCGTGATGGAGGGCCACAGGACAGGTGGGTGGCAGTGAGACAGGAGGGGGGCAAGGGAACAGGTGGGGGCAGCAGGACAGGAGGGGGGCAAGGGAACAGGTGGGGGCAGCAGGACAGGAGGGGGGCAGTGTGACGGGGGGGCCACAGGACAGGAAGGGGCAGCAGGACAAGAGGGTGACAGCAAGACAGGAGAGGGTGAGCTGGACAGGTGGTGGACAGCGGGACAGGAGGGGGGCAGCATGATGGGAGGACCATGGGACAGGAGGAGGCAGCGATACAGGAGGGGGGCAGCAGAACAGGTGGGGGGCAGTGTGATGGGGGGGCCCCAGGGCAGTGGGAAAGGAGGGGCTGGTTTTTGTGGGGAGTTATGCAAATATGAAAATGCTTCTTGATTGAAAGAACTGAAATCCAATGAATGAAAGGGGCTAGGGGCAGTCAGGCTGCGGAGGAAAGACTAGATGACGCTGGATGTCCTCCAGCCATCATATGAGGCGGAGTTCTATCTGACTGGCTGCAGCATCTAATGCACATTGTGAGAATCTCCCAGTGTGCAGTGACATCAGAGGAAGCCGTTCCAGTCCAGGAGAGGAGCCGGTACACCTGTGCAAGACTGAAGGGGAGGAGCCGGTACACCTGTGCAAGACTGAAGGGGGGAGGAGCCGGTACACCTGTGCAAGACTGAAGGGGAGGAGCCGGTACACCTGTGCAAGACTGAAGGGAGAGGAGCCGGTACACCTGTGCAAGACGGGAGGGGAGGAGCCGGTACACCTGTGCAAGACTGAAGGGAGGAGCCGGTACACCTGTGCAAGACTGAAGGGGAGGAGCCGGTACACCTGTGCAAGACTGAAGGGGAGGAGCCGGTACACCTGTGCAAGACTGGAAAGGGAGGAGCCGGTACACCTGTGCAAGACTGAAAGGAGGAGCCCGTAACCCTGTGCAAGACTGAAGGGAAGGAGCCCGTACACCTGTACAAGACTGAAGGGGAGGAGCCAGTACACCTGTGCAAAACTAAAGGGGAGGAGCCGATACGCATGTGCAAGATGGAAAGGGAGGAGCCGGTACACCTGTGCAAGACTGGAGGGGAGGAGCCGGTACACCTGTGCAAGACTGAAGGGGAGGAGCCGGTACACCTGTGCAAGGCTGAAGGGGAGGAGCCGGTACACCTGTGCAAGACTGAAGGGGAGGAGCCGGTACACCTGTGCAAGACTGGAGGGGAGGAGCCGGTACACCTGTGCAAGACTGGAGGGGAGGAGCCGGTACACCTGTGCAAGACTGAAGGGGAGGAGCCGGTACACCTGTGCAAGAATAGAGGGGAGGAGCCGGTACACCTGTGCAAGACTGGAGGGTTATAGGTGGAGTGTGGTGGTCCTCACTTGCAGGGTATTGCACTCCAAAGTCACTTCTCTCTCATGGCTGGTTTTTAATAGTCCCACACATGGAGCTTCCTGACTCCAGATCTCCTGGCTGCCTCCTCCCCTGCTGGCTCAGGCTGAGTCTCTGGCTCCGATGGGTCTAGCTGAGACCTTAGGGTTGGACCAGGGGCAGACTGACCATTCGAGCACTCGGGCACTGCCTGAGGGCCCGGGGTCAGTAGGGGGCCCCATAAAATGCCCCTGGTACCTTTTTTTTATAGGCCTTTTTTGGGTGTGTTTTGAGTGTGGGCAAGGACTCAGGGGCCCAATTGCCCGGGGGCCCCATGAGTTGTCAGTCCGCCCCTGGGTTGGACTGATCTCCTGAGGCCTCCTTTCCTCTTCTATCAGCCCCAGGGGCAGAGCCCCCTAGCACAGGGCTCACCTCCACATGGCTGGACCCTGGACTCTGCTCCCAAGCTGCCAGGCCTCAGAGTATTTATGGGGTTTCCCCCCACCTACTGAGCCTGCCTCCCCAGGGATTGGCTGGAGATCCATAAATATTAATCTTCTAGCCCTGCTCTCCCTCCAACTATGTTCTGGAATACTGCAGAGGAGGGGGGGGGGGGAGGAACAGGCCAGCAACCTGGTAGGCACTGAAAACAATTAACTCCTCACAGGGAAAACTTCACCCCAAAAAAAAGTTGAGCTCCCTTTCCCCCTCCCCCCCCCCCCCCCCCAACAACATTAACACACCCACCTGGGGCACTACATATATTTAATTCTAGGCCATTATTCCTGGTTATCTCTACCTGATGACCTGAAGGGCTGTTATAAAGTGCCACCTATGGGGAAATGTGGGGTACTGACGTTTGTTGCTGGTTCCTGGGCACACTCCATTTTTGACATGTTGGGTATCTATTTACTCGGCACAACCTCACCTTTTATATTTTACCAAAAAATGGGGAAGAACTAGAGTTTGTGTGCCAAAAAAATTATTTTTTTTTTCTGAAATGCTGTGTTTCAGAAACAGTTACACTAATACTGTGTAACATAAAACATTTGAACTGCCGCCATTTAATTCTTCATGGTTTCTGATTTCAGAAATATTCGGGGGGGGGGGGGGGGGGGGGGGGGGGGGGGGGTTTAAAGTGGTTCTAAAACCTAAACATTTTGTACCTTGATGAATTCCTTGCATTAAATGCTGGTAAACTGCAGCATAAAAAAAAAAAAAATAGGCCACAGGCAGTTTAAGGGCCGGTTCACACTATAGAATCGCAGTCCAGATGTGTTCCACATGCGTTTCCGCTCGCACGTTTGAAGTGTTCCAGTGCATTTTTGATACGTTTTTGACGTGTTCCAGTGCATTTTTTTATGATTTCCAGTTAATTTTTTCCTCTCTTTTGCTTCAATTCAAATAGAGACACGTGCATTCCAGTGCGTTTTTGATGTGTTTTACCACATTCCAGTACAGTTCTGTGCAAAAAAAATGCCGCCTGTTCTACTTTTTCTTTATGCATCCGGAACGCACTGGAACTGCCAGCACCAGGGGCGGACTGACCATTTGGGCACACTGGTACTGCCCGAGGGCCCAGGGTCAGTAGGGGGCCCCATGAGATGCCCCTAGTACCTTCCATAGGCTTTTTTGGGTGTGGTTTGAGTGTGGGCGAGGACACAGGGGCCCCATGATCCCCTATTGCCTGGGGCCCCATGAGTTGTCAGTCCGTCCCTGGCCAGCACTGATGTGAACTATGACATTGATAACCATTTAACCTACTTTCTGTGCATTTTGGAGGCAGAAAAAAAAGCAACTGAAACGCATAGAGTGTGAACCGGCCCTAAGTTATATTGTGCTAGTACGGTATTCACTGCATACTAGCACATCATGACAGACTGACCTGAAAATGAAGCCCTCCAGTGGCGCGCTGTCACCGCTGTAGGTGCCTCCATCTCCACCCAGTTTTCCTGCCACGTTTGCAGGCTTCAGCGGTATGAATGGCGTGATGACGTCACTCCAGCGCATGCGCATGGGGGTCACTGTTTACAGTACAAATCCTATAATCTCCCCTCTACCACACTTTACACTTGGCACAATGCAGTCAGGGAAGTACCGTTCTCCTGGCCACCGCCAAACCCAGACACGTCCATCGGATTGCCAGACAGAGAAGAGTGATTGGTCACTCCAGAGAACACATCTCCACTGCTTGAGAGTCCAGTGGCGGCGTGCTTTACACCACAGCATCCGACGCTTTGCATTGCACTTGGTGATGGAAGGCTTGGATGCAGCTGCTCGGCCATGGAAACCCATTCCATGAAGCTCTCTACACACTGTTGTTGGACTCATCTGAAGGCCACACCAAGTTTGGAGGTCTTTAGCTATTGACTCTGCAGACAGTTGGCGACTTCTGCGCACTGTGCCCTTCAGCATGCGCTGACCCCGCCCTGTCATGTGACGTGGCCTACCACTTGGTGGCTGAGTTGCTGTTGTTCCCAGTTGCTTCCACTTTGTTATAATCCCACTAACAGTTGAGCGTGGAATATTTAGTGCCCAGGTGGCCACCTATCACGGGACCACGCTTGGAGTCACTGAGCTCCTGAGAGCGACCCATTCTTTCACCAATGTTTGTAGAAGCCGTCTGCATGCCTAGGGGATGATTGTTTAGGTACATATTAGGTTTATAAATCCACACTAATTATAAGTGAGACGGAGATATAAATATGACATACTTATAGGTGTCATATTAGGTGGCTCCTTCTCGTTTTGATTGCTTGATTGTATGCACCTGTGTCCATGGAGGGGATTGGAACACCTGAATCACATGGTATGGAGGGGATTGGAACACCTGAATCACATGATATGGAGGGGATTGGAACACCTGAATCACATGGTATGGAGGGGATTGGAACACCTGAATCACATGATATGGAGGGGATTGGAACACCTGAATCACATGATATGGAGGGGATTGGAACACCTGAATCACATGATATGGAGGGGATTGGAACACCTGAATCACATGATATGGAGGGGATTGGAACACCTAAATCACATGATATGGAGGGGATTGGAACACCTGAATCACATGATATGGAGGGGATTGGAACACCTGCATCACATGATATGGAGGGGATCGGAACACCTGAATCACATGATATGGAGGGGATCGGAACACCTGAATCACATGATATGGAGGGGATCGGAAACACCTGAATCACATGATATGGAGGGGATTGGAACACCTAAATCACATGATATGGAGGGGATCGGAACACCTGAATCACATGATATGGAGGGGATCGGAACACCACATGATATGGAGGGGATCGGAACACCTGAATCACATGATATGGAGGGGATCGGAACACCTGAATCACATGATTGGGAGCGGATTGAACAACACCTGAATCACATGATATAGAGGGGATTGGAACACCTGAATCACATGATATGGAGGGGATCGGAACACCTGAATCACATGATATGGAGGGGATCGGAACACCTGAATCACATGATATGGAGGGGATCGGAACACCTGAATCACATGATATGGAGGGGATTGGAGCACGTGAATCACATGATTTGGAGGGCGGAGCCAATACATTTGGCAATATAGTGTATTTACCTATTATTATAGGTCTACCTATAGGTAAAATTCACCCAAGGGAGTTTACTCCCACTGCTGGCCATACATAGAATTTTTGTTTCAAGAAAATTCGTTTGATTTTCTAATCATTAATTTGGGGGTCAAATCGATTGGGTTTTTTTGATGGAAAAAATCGAAGGGGCAGAAAGGAAATCTTTTCTCGATCAAACAAATTTTTGGCCTTCGATTTTTTTCCATCACTGCGGTCAAAAAAACCCATCGATTTGACCCCCAAATTAATGATTAGAAAATCAAACGAATTTTTCTTGAAACGAAAATTCTCTATATGGCCAGCTTAAACATTTATTATGGGGATCGTTCAGAATTTACATTCATTTTAAACTCCAATGTTAAAAGCAAAAGACAATTTTCGAACGACATTCGTCCATTCACCGAATGTTCAAAGAATTTTTGTATGGCTTTTGTACGAATATTCTCGTTAGAAAATCTACACGTAATAGGAAGAAGGGTCAGCCGCACACGGAGGATAGATGACTATAGCGTGTATTTATTGATCCATAGGACACACAAAACACCAGGACATGAATACAGGGCTTGTTAACGCGTTTCACATGGCCGGCTTTAGCCGTCGGTATTGCCCCCCCCGTCCTCCCCCCATCCTTATACTTACCTGAGCCCTCATGCGATCCGGCACTGAGCGCGTCTGCAGCCCTTCTCTCCCCTCACTTCCAGGTCTCACAGGCTTTGCTGAGGCAGCAGGAACCATTGGCTCCTGCTGCTGTCAATCAAAGCCAGCAGGGCTTGGGAGTGAGCACGCACAAGTGCCTCCATGGGAAGCAGCTTCCCATTGGGGGCACTTGGTGGAGGGGTAGAGCCAGGAGTAAAAGTGAAGGACCCGAGGAGAGGAGGTTCGGGGCCACTCTGTCCTATTCTCTTGCACAGAGCAGGTAAGTATAGACATGTTTGTTATTAACCGCCTCCCACCCACCATATAAGGTAATGACGGGCGCAAGGCGGTTCTCTCGTTCTGGGAGGAGTCATATGACGTCCTCCCATTCTAACCGCGCATGCACGGCTCGGGGGGGGGCGCGCAGCAGCGCGGTGACCGACGGTGCTCTGTGTCCCTCAGACACAGCGGATCCCCGATCAACGGAAAGAGCCGAAGGTGTCGGCTTGGTCATGTGATCAGCTGTGTCCAATCACAGCTGATCGCATGTAAATAGGCAAATGCCGGTTATCGGCATTTCTCTCCTCACGAGTTGTCACGCTGACAGAGGAGAGGAGAGCCGGTAATCGGCATTCCGCGGAGGGGGACATCTA